ACTCGGAAATCGTTCCTCTTTAGAAAACAAGACAACAAGATTTCAGTGTAGTTCAGATTGTTCGCTTCGCTCCGATGCACTCGTCTGTGTACCAGATTCAAAGCATCTTGGCTCAAGAGAGGATGGTGCGGCTCATGATGCTCGACATCATGCCAATATTGTTACACCACAACACTAACAAATCTCATTGCTTCTTTTCGAATTTCTTCGATTTGATGTAATGTATTCAACTTTTCGAAATGGAGGTATGATTGGATACGTTCTGACCGGACCCTCCATATGGAGTGCAGACTGATGAAATCAAGGACTCTTCACTGGACAGCCGCCAGCCGCTAGGTGTTCGTGAAGAGTGGGTGGCTACTGCCAGAGGACTTCATACTACCGAAGGGATTGGTGATTGCCGTCAGCTTCAACTACGTTGCAAAACACAGAATATTATCTGTGGCTTGTGGCTCCCATGGGTGCTATGTTTCCATCGGCTAATGTTTGCGCGACTGATCAAGCTTCAAGGACCAGAATAACTCACTAGTAACGGTCCCTAACGGATCACAATTGCGTGAATGATAAGGTATGTAAATCATTCATCATACTCCTCTTGGAGCCGAGTGTTATGGGGCTTTAATGGCACGTATCTCGCAAAATGCCTACGTACGAGCAGAAATCTGCCAAACGAGCTATTATGCCGAAGGAAGGCCCGCCCCCTTCCTGAGCTTCTCACTGACATTAGCGGCCAGTTTTGCGTTGTCAACAGGGGCAATCGACGTAAGAGTGTGTTGTCTCCCGCGAACCTAAGAAAAGCCTTAACCTACAGCTTCCAGTTAAAGGAACGAATTCACCATGACAAAACGAGGGTTCAAAAAGGATCCGACCCCTTCCAAAGGGTTTCCAGCAAAAGCGACGATGTCGGCGGACATACCAGGGAGCAATTTTCCTGTAACAGAGGACAGGCCGCATACTGCACTGGCTTTATCAGTCGCAGATGCGATGATCTCTCGTAAAGAGTAGCCAGCCTCGACAAGGACGGAAAGCCCATCGGCATATCTCTCAAATGGGCATCCAACTATTTGGGGAAATGTAAATATATATCGCTCAAAGTGCCCTTGAAGAGGAAACATTATACACACCTATGCCATTGTCAGTGCCGACAATCATTTGGATGCCGTGTTCTCGCAGTTTGCTCAGGTTCTTCAAGACATTCTCGCGGGTGTCCCAAGGACAGTAATAATCCTTTTCGATGCAGGCGGTATTCATTGTCGGACATACGGTGACATTTCGCGCAACCAGCTTCTTGGCGATCCTTTCGTCAAATCGTGTTCCGCCTTCTGCGCAGGAGACTTAACAGCGACGACTCCAGTCAGTAACGTCAAATATTTACCTACGCTCCACGAACAATGTTCGATGCAGTCAAATCCCGCATCGACAGCTCGTTCGATGCCTTGCAGACCTGTTGCATGGGTGGTGACAGGAATTCCATGGGCATGGGCCACTTCGGCTATCACACGAAGCTCTTCAACCGAGTAGCGCGCTTTTTCAGGCGAGCTACCGAGCGTAAGGAATCCTCCTACATTGTATGACGTTAGATCGCGTAAATAGGGTCAATGTCAACAAACTAGAGTCGAAGAGGAAAATTGGAATCTCGCGTTTCCGGTACGCTGTCAGTTGTTGCAACTGTGCGAGGGAAGATGAAACTCAAGAACGAGACTGACACTGACCCGTAGTCATAACCTTGACAACATCCACTCCCTGTCAGAGAGTTGACAATGAGATACATCAGGGTAGAGAACTCGAATATATGTGGGGATAATTGTGACTTACCTCCTCCACTCGTTTCTGAGCCTCTGACTTGCATCCGTCAACTCCCGAAGCAATACCCCCCCAGGAGCTAGCATGCCCATTTGGTACAGTAATGGGTGCATTGGACGAGAGAATACTAATAACGCTGTCAGTCGGAATAATACAGACACCGTTTCTCAAGAGAGCGATTTGAAACATGATAGGTATAATTAGCAGCGCGTACATACCGTGGTCCAAGAACTAAACCTGCATTAATACGATTTCTTAATTCGGTGGAGAGGGTTCCAATGCAACCCAAGTCCCTGATGGTGGTTACCCCAGCGTCGAGAACTCGAAGGCAGTTCTTCTCCATCCTAGATACGAGTTCTTCCTCCGAAGGAGAGGCAACGTCTGTGGTATGAAAGGCCGATGGGTCCATAAAAAGGTGGACATGGCAATCAAAGAGTCCGGGCATCAAAGTGACGTCCCCAAGGTTCAACATCTTTGTGTCTTTGGACAAGGCAGATTGGATTTCGTGCCACGCCCCCGATGCCAGTATGACTTCATGATTTACGATGACTGCGCCATCCTGAATAATTTCGGAATCGCTTGCGAGAAGAAGACGAGCAGCACGAACACAGGTTGTCATGACTGTGAGAGAGAGGAGTGGTATCTTTTCCCGTGAAGTCGTTCGTTTTTAAAGAGGTATTTGCGGTATCCGTATCGCACCAGAATTTTGCGATGATTTGTGGAAATGTTCTGCGAGCGGTGAAGAGATCTTGTGTCCCTAGGTTTGAAACACTGGTTTTGGAAAGAGGCATTTGCGGTATTGAGTAGTATGAATAGTTGTTTTTTTCTAAAATGATAACGTTCAACTTACTCGACAACGTACACAGTGGACTGCAGCACGCAATCCAGATCTCCGTCGCGACCAATGTGGATACGATTGTCGTGGATATGAATAAAGATTTCGTTTGTCTCCGACTCCCCGCAAGCGGTAACCCAGGATAAAAGCTTCAACTGTGGCCATTTTCTTCTAGAGCGACGCGGACATATGTACGAAATTCTGGCAGGAAGGTCCATACTAGACAGCGAGCCGCTTACACTGGCAAGTCCGGGAAGTTAACATTCGGCTGTTACTTGCTATTCGAAGCTCATTACAACGCTCACCCATTCAGAGCATAACGGGAACACATTTGCCCCCTACCACCCGTGACTGCGACCGAGTTTGCATATGTCGGAGAATGATTAGCTTCCAAGGGTGATCCGTGGGTGAAAGGTTGTAGAGGAGAGTCGTGCTTCCTGGCATTTTTAGCCTCAAGCTCCGCTTGTGGAGATTGCGTTCAAGAAGTTATGTTCCGAAGGAGTCGAGAGTGTCCTTGAATGGTCGCGGGTGGTTTATTTTCTCTATCTCAAACACTTGGTATTGTTCAAGAACACTGCCTTCCATTTGAGGCGGGAAGGGACCGTCGATGGTGCAGACGACAGGTTATATCAGTGATATCAGTTGGACGGAAGATTGTATGCCATGGTCGATTGAGCCTTCAATTCATATACGCACTATTAACTGGTAAATGATGATGCCTGAACTTGGAGGAAGTTATACAAACCTCTGAATAAAGGCGTCCTAAGGTCTTAGCCCTTGACTCTGGAGTCTCGGTCAATCTGGGTTTTGACTCTCGTCAGATAGCTGAAATTTGAAGGGAGAATCTTGAGGTAAGGAGGACCTTGAAAGTTGTTTCCAATCAGTCGGCGCGGAGTGTTCGTCAAATTTTCACTTTTCCGGTGATTTGCGTGATTCTCCACAACCGCCGCCGCCGGCATGGGTTCAATTCTTTCTGCGACTCTCACTGTCACAAGCCGACAAGCTTTTTACCCACCCACAATCACTACTGCGCTCTCAGTCTGGTGTGTACGAGTCCTTGGAACGATGCCTAACTTGGAAGGCGAAATGGTCGCTTACCGATGGTTTCCTGGAGCAAAAACACTGACCAAAGCTAAAGTTGCAATCCCTGAACCTGCGGACGATGAAGGTGCGGATGATTCCGTGAATGAAACTATTGTACTGATTGTGGAGATAGTTTTGGTGAAGGTTCTGGCTGCGGGAATGTGCCACTCTGATATGTTATATTATGATGTTGCCTTCGAACATACCAGAACTGAACCGTCTGTACCTGTTTCGAAATTTGGTATGGCCACTGACCAGATTGTCAAGCCAGATTCACAATGGGCCATGAAGGTATGTCGCCTAATAATCTCCCAGAAGTTAGTTCTGCTTCCATTGGAAACTCATATCGATATCGGCTTTCAGGCGCAGGTGTGGTGATAGCGCTCGGTAAACACGTACCATCATCATTTCCAGACGTCCATGTGAACCAGTATGTCGTTATTCATGGTCGGAATCCGTGCCTTTCCACGACTTGTCCGGTATGTTCTACCAATGCGGACAACCTCTGTACACAATACTATCCTTATGGCCTTGGAATCGATGGATGCTATGCCCCTTATGTGACTGTAGCTGCTAGAGCTGTTGTGCCAGTTAATGCTACAGAGGATATCATTCCGCCACCACTGGCAGCAGTTTCGACTGACGCGGTGCTGACAAGCTATCATGCTCTGAAAGATTTGAGGGTGGGGGAGATTGTATTAGTGGTCGGAGTAGGTGGATTGGGTATTAATGCGGTCCAGATTGCGAAGGTTCGTGTTAAATTTGCTCGTCTCATGATACTGCTCATCCTCGGTCATAACAGTATGTCAGAAACGCAAAGGTTGTTATCGCGTCTGACACTCGCGACATCATGCTTCGAAAGGCTCTCGAAGTTGGCGCAGATTATGCTGTCAAGCCCCATGAACTGCAACACCTTCTTTCAAGCAACAACTTGAGCATCGATACTGCATGCGACTTTGTTGGCAGCGCGACTTCTTTCAGATCAGTTTTGGAGCATGTCCGTTCTCGAGGAACTATCATCGTCGTGGGCCTTGGTGAGGTTGTCGTGGAGTTGCCATTGGTTTCAGCGGCTAAAAAAGAGGTGACGATCAAGACGAGCATGTGGGGAACCAAGAAGGAGCTTGCAGAGGTGTTGGCACTTGTCAAGGATAAGAAAATAACCCCCTTGACTGAGACAAAACCACTGGACCAGGCGATTGAAGTATTCGAAAATATGAGGCTCTCGAAACTACAAGGTCGTGTTGTACTTATCCCAGAGCAGTAATGAAATTCAAAATATTTCCTTCTAGCCGACTCGAACGACTGACCTCGTCATGTTTTCAGAAATACTAGTGACGCGCTCTACCAACTGAGCTAAGAAGGACCACCTACACCGCTTTGTCAAATCTTGCAGTTCTTCGCCACGACCTTCATTAGCTCGTTCATCTGGAAATCTCGCTTCTTCTTTCGAACACCGATGTGTACCTACAGGATAGTTCGGAGTAGTGACCTGCGGCTTTGAGGTAAATTAGCTACTGGACTCATAACGAATAACACTAAAAATAACTGCTATCTAGTTCTCTATCCTTCTCTATCCCGCTTTCCTCATGGTCTCGAGCACGATTAAGTTGCTTCGGTGTCAGTCAGATGTAGCAAAATTCACTCATCTGGCGATGCGCTACTTTTCGCCATCCAATGGAACGTTAGACGGTGCGGGAACTAGCACGCTTATCTCAGTAGATAGGATAGAGCCTGAGGAGTCGGATTTGAGGAGGTGAGGAGTCCCGTTGCTTAAAAGATGTTCGCGTGAATGGACTTTCCACACCTCTGGCCATTCCAATAAACCCATCGACAAAATGGCACTCGGCGTTGCAGCTCGTCGTTCAATCTCATCCACTCTAGAGTCACCTCAAACTGGAGAAAACTGTGATGCCCACGTCGTTGGGACGGCGTCTGTGCCAACTATGCCCGCCGTCTTACCCCAATCTTCCTCGCCTCTACCAATCTTGCCAATGACTGTTCTTTCGATTGTATGTTTCAAGAAATATGACTGCACAATCGGGTATAGAGAGTTTCTTCATCCCAGATGATGCTTGGAGAGTTTCTCTCGTCAAACGTATCCGTGCCATTCTTAATCTTCATGGTCAAAGGTACTGATACTATACTGAATACTTCGCGTAAACATTCTTCTGATCACCCTTGCTCGTAGGCTTTGGATTCCCAGATGAAGCAGACGCAGCATTTTGGACAGGAATTCTAGGTAGAGTACAATCTCATTCGAGTCCTATGACATACTACTCTATCTCACATCGGTCATCGTAGTGGCGGCGTTCTTTCTCAGTCAATTTCTGACTTCCTTACTTTGGGTGAATATCTACTAGCCACTTGTAGGAGCTGTACTGAACCTGCATGACTACATAGGCAACGCTCGCTGAACAATACGGTCGTCGAATCGTGCTTGTAGTCGCGCTTTTCGGAAGTGCGATGTCTGTGACTGCTTTCGGGTTATCTAAAACGATCTGGCAAGCTATATCGATCCGCCTCGTACAAGGTGTTTTCGCAGGCGCAGTTGGAGTAGCGAGAGGCTCCGTAGTATCCATCACTGATGCGTCAAATGAAGGCAGAGCGTATGCTATCCTTGGGTATGTTTCAACTGTTGTAGTTGCCGCTTGCTCGAAATGAACTCATGTCGGATGATGTAGGTTCTTCTGGGGCTTTGGAGGTCTTCTGGGCCCGATCATTGGAGGTTCATGTGAGCTCCGAGGGATTTATCGTCGATGTAGTACTAACTTATCGAAAGTTGAGCATCCCTCGGAAAGGTGGCCTGTGTTCGATCAGTGGAAATTCTTCGAGCAGTTTCCGTATTTTCTTCCTACAGCTGTCGCAGGACTCATTCTTCTTGTTGGTGGGTCCAGCTATCGCAATGACTTGTATTGTGTCCGTGTTCTGAATTCCTGAATTGTCAGGATCATTCTTGGCGTGCTATCTTAGCCGAGATGGTGGGCAGACTGAGATCAGCGTCCCAGTCCCGGTCCACCCAGAGAAGCTGGAAGAGGATTATTCCAGTTTCTCGGTCGAACAGCGGCTCAGGCCACTTTCTCGAGTCACATCCATCGAAAACGAATCGCAAAATCAGAACACGAATGCCTTCCCTACATCAGACTTTTGGCGTGATACTTCTCGTTCCACCCCAACTTCGTCTGGAATTCCCATAGGTCCACGCACACTTACCGTGTGTAGTTCCAAGTCCATCGATTATTCCACCTTCGGAGGGACTTCCAGATTTGCGCCTCGTCCCAAAGTTTTCCACTCGTTATGTGGCGGTCTTAGCGAAAGTCTTCCAACTATGGCTATGTCCTGTAGTACGCCTGGAGATGCAGATACTAGGAGTATCGCGGACAGGGTTGTTCTAGCGAACGAGAACGCAGTAAACAACATAGCAGACCTCTGGGTGACCGCTGCGATCAAATCTCAAGAAACTTGCGGTTCTGGAGGCGAAATTCAACCAGATGGAGATGAAAGTGCTCGCCATCTTGAGGAGGGGCTGATCACTGATGACCAGACTTCCCGAGGACGAACTAGCTTGAAGTTATGGAAAGGGAATAGTCCCGCAACTCGAAGACACACCAATACTCATTCGCTGACTGCCTCTCGGTGTCGACAATCTCGCTGTACCTCGGTTGCTAGGTCCATTCTCACTCAGCTCGATGGCTTTTTCAATGATCAGACAGTTGGTGAGACCACCTACGCTTCCTCTCGACCCATACCGTCTATCTTCACGAATCCTGGGGTTAGCACCCCTCCAGCTGTAATGGGCCCCGGCTATACTGAAACCGATCTCATGATCCAGTTAGACCGGGATCTATCACCTATACTTGAAGCGAGACTATTGCGGCTTGATGAAAGTCAAGAAAGCACTCCGCTGGTGGGCCTGGACATTGCTCCTTCGTCTTCGTCACTTCCACTATCTGTGATCATCCAATTTGGACTACTTGCGCTACACTCAACGACTCATGACCAGGTGTTCATGTCATACCTAGTCAGGTGAGTGATGTTATCTTGTCCAAATTTCCGAACTAACGAGGTCCATGGTAGTGACTACAATATAGGTGGGCTCGGCTTGAGTGCGAGCGATTTCGCACAATTGAGTGGGTATCTTGACCTTTACACGAGTTGCTCAAAGATGAACTTCACCTCGTAGTCGCTTTGATGGGATTTGCTCAAATCATATACCAGTTTTACTTGTATCCGTGAGTTTGGTCGTTTTTACCACGAGTACGAGTGTACTGAGGAGATATACTGTCAAAACAGGAATATCGGGTATCTGCTCATTTCGATCTCCTTCATTCATACGACTTAACCTCTTCTTGTTAGGCCACCAAGAGGTCAACTTTCCCATCTCATCATGTATCGATTGGGCACATTCCTCTTCATACTGTCATATCTGACGGTGGTATTATACCGCGCGTTTGCACAACCGGAACACTCTCAACACTCGGTTCTGATGACGGGTAAGTTCTTCCACTAGCTGTAAATACAGTGTCTGATCAGTGGTTCTCGATGATTCAGCCCTGGCAATCAGCACGTACGCAATTGTCAGTATCCTGAATCATCACATTCTGAAATAGCACCCTAGAGCGATCCGCTATTGTGGAATAACCTTTGCGTTCACTTCTGTATCCGTACTCCTGAACTACAGTACGAGAGCTCGTTTTGCATCTGCTAGTTATGACTCACGCGACTGGGATCGGAATAGTGACCCCACCTGAAAAAATTGGATACGCCAATGGTCTAGCGCAAACGATTGTGAGTCTTGCACGATGTTTAGGACCCGTTTTTGGTGGCTACGTAAGTATTGTTATCTAACTCTTCGATTCTACTGATTTATCGTACAATAGATTTGGTCTGCAAGTGTCGACGGTCATCCTTCAGGTTATCCATGCGGCTTTGTTGTATGTACAATTTTGAGTGCAATTGCTTTGCTCTCGACAATCTTTATGCACTGAGTACTTTCAATACTGTTACAGATACTTAGAATTATGACGTCATTCGTTTCCTTGTTGAGGTTGATATTGACAGCTTTGACCCTTACAGCCTTTTCGCCGGACCAGTTGGAAGGTCACCGGTCACCGACCTTCTGTGTTATGACTCTATGTGCTGCCTGATTTCTCCAAGGAACATATATCAGTCTAGCTCCATGCAAGGTCCAATCGTATTCAGCATGCCAGATGGCAGAGGGCTGATTTTCGTACATAGGCCATCCAGATCGACTATCTATGTTACTGTATATCTGGCATGAAATTGCCCAAGAGCGCCACGAACCTGATATGGTGGCGAGGTGAAAACGGCATTGCGTTTTCCACATTCGATTAGTGCCTAATCACTACCAGTAATTCGATGCAAACAGCCTTGCAACCTGGATATCGGGCAAGATGCCGTTCGGAGAAAAGTAAGAGACAACCTACTGAAAGGTAGGTTGCCAAGCTGCCTGCGATAAGCAACGAAGCATTTGTGTCTCTAATCAGGTATCGGAGTTGTTCAACTGGTCACCGTTTACCAGCGTTTATCAGCGTTTACCCTGGTTTTCATCAGGTTTTCATGCTGGCCGCGCAGAACATATATGCTGCATCGCTTCCATCGGGCACGGGAGAGGTCTAACGCTTGATGGCGGGTACATACACTGCGTGTCAAATGGCGCTACAACAAGTATTGTACCTGTGCTAAATCCGAATCTGTAGTGCATTATTTTCAGAGATTTGTCATTTCGACGCTGAAAATTTGCATTCTCGTTATCGGACAGTTCAACGGCTTCAAGGAATATTGAGTCATGAGGTAGGCTCGTCACCGTCACCAACGAACGTACACGATTTCGCCAGACGAAGATAGGCAATACCTGGGGAATCCAGGCTGATGCCAATGGAAACACCGTCACCATTCCCGGGTCAATGCCTTGGACTCGGCTTCATGCAATCGTAATTACAGAAACCACGATTTCTAGGATTATGTCCAATCCTTTGAATTTCCAGCTTGGGGGTGTAAGTAGACCCTTTTGCACGACATCATATCACGAACAGGGTCTAGTACATATCCGTGTAATATTTCGAATGCGACGACCTCCGTACGACAACCCGCTGTATAGATGCAGCGGCGTAGCTTGATGGACCGACATGTATTATACTCCAACCTTACTCATTCTCCGTTTTGTTCTTGCCGCCTCGTATCGTTCAAAATCAACACACGTATAGTAAACGAGCATAAGATATATCGTCTAAAGGCGAATTTACATTAAGAATACAACGAGTCGCAAATGGGTACCAAGAGTTGTACGTACGCTGCAAAATCCCAACTTCGCCAGTCCAAAGAACGTACAGAATAAATGAGTGA